ATAAATGTGCACCGTTGAACGTACTATACATTTATACATCTATGTAGTAAAATTTAGATTTTCGGAATTGCAATTTCAATCAGGAACTTACAACCTGGGTTTTCGGCTAGTACCTTCCACCTGAATATGAATTTCTTAATGAATTAATAGAAACAAATCGCGATGTTAACACTTAATTTATATTTTAAGATTTTATTAGAAACAAAATTTCTTAACGGGTTTCTAATTTCAAAATTGAGTATTGAATAATTACTTACATACCTACCTATTAGAAAACAAAATTATAAACAAAATCAGACACAAATTAATAATGGAGTAAAAGTAGCGGAATAATAGTATGCAATCGCTTTCATATATTAACGTACATAAAGTTCATATAAGCTCAACAAATATTAGAATCAAATAATATATAAACGTATTTAGAGTATTGCATGAAAAAACTGTCATCATCAATGTGATCATTTAGTAAAATTATATAAGTATGTACCTACTACTGCACTGATTTCGAGTTAGAATTATTTTATAAATTTTCTTATTACACATATTTCGTATATACGTTACGTACATACATATGTACATATTCCCATTTGAATTTGTTTTAATGCCAGTATGTATGTATAGCGTTCATTTTTTTACACTCACACTAATTTACTTAACAGCAAACACATACGCAATACAATAAAATTTCGGCATAAGAAAAAAAAGTAAATTATAAGCGGCGCCGCTTTATTATTATATTTTTTATATTCATATTATTATTCCTATCCCTTTCTCTCATTTTTCTAATAAAATCCATATTATATACATTTATATTGTTATCTCTTTATGAGTCACTATAGCTTTTTCACATTTTTCACTAAATACAATATGTTTAGTTTATTGCATATGTATAGGTATAAATAGGTAAGAATGGAATAATCCACCTTAGTGTACACATATTTGTAGGGATTTGCGTTTTTTTTTTAACTGTACATTGGCAAAATATTATTATTTATACAAATTTTATTTTTATCTAAACCACACTACACATTCTTCATATTTTTATAATGGTTGTGTTGTGCTGTTTGTTTCTACATGTTCATTTGTACTCTCTACATTTGCGATTATGACATATTTTTATAATGAGAATATTGCAGCCTATTATTGTTGTAGATCTTAATAATTTTTGCTACTTAAAAATAACGAGATATCTAAAAAGATTTTTTTATGCCTTTTGAATAATTTAAAAATATTTTGTAGATATTTTTTTAGGTTGAATTTTAATTTTTCTTAGAATAAAATAAAATATTTGTTGAATTACAGCATTTTACAACCAACATTCATACATATGCTAGTATTTACTTTCTTTTATCATTTTGATTTACAGGTTTTTTCTTTCATTTGAGTCCTAGTTGCAATAAAGTGAGAAACCACTGGGTTTTGTGCAAATTTGCCTATGTTTTTATTCCGTCAAGAACATTAGATTTAGATCACAAAATTATTCAAATAAAAATCAAGACATTGAGGGAAAGAAAAAATAACTTAAAAATGTTTTGAGTAAACCACAGTTCCAATATTCCTTTCTTATGTAGAAAATATTTTGTAGGCGTAAGTACGTATGCACATACATATGTAACACATATGTGCCTAAAACGTTATTAAACTTTAAATAGCTAATATAAAAAAAATTATAAATTTCGATTGCTTATGAAAATTGAAAAAAAAATATTTTGCCTGAAAAATGAGAGAACGTTAATAAAATATAATAAACGTATGAAAATGTATGACGAACATTTTTGTTTGCACATAAACTTTAATACACACATATGTATGTATAGAAATATAAGAATTTTTAAGTACAAACAAATGTGTATTTATGTATGTATATGAAAATGTGCAAAAAATTTTTTACGAGCAAGTTTATCTCAAAGGTAAATAATTTACGACGTAATAAGAAAATGAGTAGTATGGTAACTTGTTATTTTTTTGTTTATTTTTTTTTTTTTATTATTTATGTGAAAATTTGTTCTTGTACTTAAGAATTTTTCTTGACTGCTTTTTTTTTAGTTTTAAAGGATGTAATGTGGAATGTGGATTATGCATATAGCAAATAGATGTGCAAATGTATGTACATAAAATATACAAAATAGGTACAGAAAAATTTAATGTTGTTTATACGTACATACATATTACATAGACATTCATATATAAATGTACCTACCTGAGTAAAAGATTAAAAGAAAATGTGCATAAATATTACGATTATGAAAATAAAACTATGGCGTATGTTATGCAAATAAAATAAAAAAATTAATGAACTTTATATACGAATGTATATTGTTTTTATGTTTTATACAAACAGACATGAGTGCAGAAGATATGAATATGTATATAAGTATGTACGGAAGTGCTAACATATAGTACCTCTTTTACCGAATACATTAATTACAAGAATATTAAATATAATGAAAATTAATTAAATATTTAGTAAATTTTTATGCGTATGTACGATATACATAGGTGCCTATATACTTTTTAAAAATGACTTTATTTATGATATATACATACATAGGTAAATATATTAATTTAAAAGTATAAGAGCACGTTACAATATCTACAGTTTCTATGTATGTAGCTGCATTTGTGCTTGTAAGAAACATTTTCTGTAAGTACTTGTAGATAATAAACCTTTTAATTAATTTGAAAGTAGAAAATTTAAGCAGATTATTTTATATGTACATTATACAAACATATATGTATTTATTATTTGTATAAATTTTAACTAAAATATTAATGCCTAAATATATATATATATAAATGTATGTGCGTAGGCACTCAGTGATAATAATAATAATAAAATAACTGATTTCAACATTAAATCAAATTACAAAAAAAAAAAAAAAATAATTTAGAAAAATTTACGATTCAAAATTTTCGAGATTCGTGATATCAATATGTTCAAATACTTGTATGCATTTTATTCAAAAATTATCTAAGATAATTTTGAATTTGAGTAATTTGACATTTCGTACTACAAATGCTAGCTGCAATTTTGGTAGATACCTAATCATTACATTTCTTTCTTGTTTTCTAGCATTCTAGCGCTTTAGTTTTAAAATTGATATTAATTATAATTACTTGCGTATATGTATTGTATGTAAATATATACTTAGAAAAAACAATGCCCAAAATAGCCCCCAAAATCATATTGAGGGAAAAATATGTTAGATGTTTACAAATAGCAATCTGATTCGTTTTCCATATTCTGTTATGGGGCTTTTTTTTTATTTGTTCTCATACGCCTCTCATAAGTCATTAGTCGTCTGGTTAAGTGACAAATTTAAGTCTTACACAATGGAAAAAAACATATGTGAATTTGTCTTATTAGAGTTTTTTACAATTGAAGTAATACAATAATGTTTTTATGTATTAAAGTTTGTTTTAATAAATAAAAAAACAAAATAGTAGTAAGTAGTAAAAATAATAAAGGTCATCTATTCATGTAACCATATGTATGAAAAAAAAAACGTGTAATAATAAAGAGCTACATGTAAACAAAAAAAAAAAAAGAAAAAAAATTGTAAACAAAATTTTTAGCGCAAAAATAACTTTTTTTTATATAAAGAAAACGAGAAACAAAATTAATTTAAACATAACATTGTAAAAAAAATAAAAAAAGAGAAAAATAGAATGCAAGAAGGATATTTGTTGTATGTAGGTATGTAACAGTTTTCGGATACCTTTCTAATTTTAGAATATTAACTAAAATATTTTAAATGTTAACAATTATTATTTTGTTTATAAAAATTTTAAACTGTGTGCAAAAAAGTATGTAACTATGCATATTGTGTATAAAATTAAATTTTATATTAATTTTAATTCAATTATGCTATGTCATTATAAAAATATATAACTGAATATAATTGAATAAAAATTGGAGTAAATTAGTAAAAAAGCAAAAATCTAAATGTAATCTAAAAGTAGGTACTTTGATAAAAGGAATTGAAGCACGTGTATGCAGTAGGAAATTACTAGGGTATTTAAAGATGCCTATCATATTTTTGGCTATCCACCTTATATCCAACTAAATAAATTTTTTCTCAAATAAGGACTATCAAAAAAGAATGTTTTCTTCAATTCTACTTGGCTTTTATAGGCACAAATTCAGAAAATTTCTTAATTTTATGACTTATATAGACTAATAACACATTTAAATATGTGAGCACAACACACATATGTATGTATGTATATAGGCAGTTCTAAAAATATTGCATCATTATGTTTTCAATTCATAAAACGCCATTCATCTTTAAATCGATAATTATATTACGTAGGACACAATGTACATGTGTACATATATACTTATGTAAGTATAACTATTTGTAATGTAAAATATTGGTTATGGCCACAAAATTTAACAAAAATCATGAAAAAAAAATTATTTAACAGCTGTTCGATATTGTAAAAATAACTATTATTTTCTCTTTCTTCATGTTAATTTTTAAAAAATTAGATTTGAAATTAAATTTCTTGCTTACACCACCGAAATTTAGAGATAAGTGCAAACGTACTTATCGTACCAATATAATAGTACACATTTATAGTGAAGATTTGTTCCTAATGTATGTATGTACCCATGTAAATACATATATACATACATGTTTTAACGAAAATAAATTAACAAAATTAAATTTACAATTTTACCAATTTACCTAATTAGAATAACAAAAAACTTTTTAAAATCATTAAAAATATTTTACGCAATATTTTAAATACATACATATGTACATATAAGAAAAAGTAAATATGTATTTAGTATTTATATAATAAGCCACATGCATCCATATGTATGCAAATATATACCATATGTATTTGTTGTTCTATATATATATACATATATATATATATATATATATATATATATATATTTATCAAAGTAGGTATATTTATGTACATATATTAACATATGTGCGAATTTATATTCATGCATTTTTATTGTGTGTATGTATGCGTGTACTTACTGTACTTCATCTGCTTCATCGCTGTTGTAGTCGGCACTGTCGACAATTATTTCTTCAGATTTAATCAAAAGTGACATTATTTTACGTTTATTTATTTATTAATTTTTTTCAAGAATTTTTTTTTTAATTATTTTTAAGTTCACCAATTTTAGCAAATTTCACTTAATTTTTATTTAAAATTAAATTTTCAATTAATTTATTATTCTTTCTGGTTGTTTTATAGTATTTTATGCTTGTATTAAATTTTATTTATAATTTAAAAATGAAAAACGGCGCACACTGTGTTTTTCTCTTTAAATTAATTTTGTTTTTTTTTTTTTTATTTTCTTAAAATAATTTTTTCTTTTCGAAAATTTTTGCTTTTGAATTTTTTCTGTTGGTGGCACTGACTGTTTTTTTTTGTGTTGTTTCTCTCTCTTTTTTATTTTCAGAGATAACACGAAAATATTAAAATATTAATCAGCTGAGCAAAAATATGAAAATATCAAATTTTTTTTCTAAATTTACTAATTTTTTTTTAATCAATTCAATTTAGAAATGTTAAAATTATTCGTAAATTTGAGAACTCACTTTATTGCGAAAAAAAATTCTCTAGGAAATTTTTTTCTTTTTTTTTGTGTTGTATATTTTTTTTTTTATTTGGAATTTCAAAATATACACTTTTTTATATGACCGCTAACACTTCTCACCCGTATGACAGCTAAAACGATTCTGGCGCGAAGCTTCTTGTATCAGCTGAGATTGCTGAGAAAATTTCAAACGAAGTGACGCTATTTTATGTATTCATACGCATTTGGGCGGCAACATAATATTAAGTAATATTGTGATTTAATAAAAAAATTTATATATAGTTATTAATTAAAATGATAATATTTTTCTAATTAAAATATTTTCAATTAATTATAATTAAAGTGTACTGATATTTTAAGTATTGTTTTTTATATATGCTACTTTCGTCTAGCGTAGTACTTTACGAATTGGGTAAAAATTTTTTTTTATAGCATTAAACCAGCTGGCTGCGTAACTCCGCCTCCATATTTTGATATTTAATACCATTGAAGAGAAAGAGAAAACCAATTTATCTTTTATTCCCATAGTTATTTCACTTTAGCTAATTGTTGACTGTACCAATTCACAATAATATAGAGTCATTTAAAATTTCAAAATATAAAATTTACTTTTAGCTGATTTTTATAAGCTACATATGTATATCTTATTTAGTCAAAGCAGTTCTTACTATTCTAAGAGTACCTTTACAATCATTGTAAAAAGAAGTGTTACTCTTTATTCCAATTACATTTTATAATAGGATAATTTTTCTTAATGTTCCCTATTAAACTATTGATTAACAAAACCGATGATCACATGCATTTTACTTTTGGAAATGTACTAATTCTATTATTAACGAATCTTTCAAAAAATAATCAAAATAATATCAAATAAAATAAAATTTTCTTTTTATTTATATGTATGTAGTTTCTAAGCTGTTTATTTTACCAATTCATCTTTTTGAAAGAGAAGTTCCTATACCGTATTGTACCATTAGCTATTTCTCCGGTTAGGAGCTGAATTAAGAGGTGCCGTATGCTCTATTTCATTCGTATAATACAAAATAACTAAAATAAAGCTTTCCTTTCGATTTAAGTAGGAATTAACTAATTTTTTTTTACCTTATATTTATTTCAATCAATAATTTTACATCGAAATATAAAATCATTTTGAATATATTGTATTTTCACATTATTTTTGTGGGTAATATCGCAATCACAAACAAAGCAATTGCCTTTTATAAAAGATTTTTTTCGGTTGGTTGACAAAGGTATTGAATTATTCATAAAAAAAATTTTATAAAAATATAAAATTCCATTTATCCGATTATACTGATTTTGTAAATTATTACTTATGTTAACAACAATTTCTTTTTTAAAAATATTTTCATCCTGCTGTATTGATGATATTGTGAATATGTCAGACAAATAATTAACATCAAAATTGATGAACTCAAACTGTTTTTTTGTACCATATTCATTTATCAAACTTTCTATGCCTAATTTTTCAAGTTCTTTGTTATGAACAGAAGTTACATTCTCTAACCATTCAGAATAAATTAACTTACATGAAATATCAATTTTAGATGGAAAGATAAATCCATTAGGTTTAAGCTTGTTCTTCAATATTTGATAATATCTCATATGATTGTTTATATTTCCACATGATGAAACTGGTTGCAATAATATGAAATCAAATTTTATATCTGTTTCATAAAGTATATTCTCCAGATCATCAATAAATACAATTAAATGCTTTGGAATGCAATTCCATGATGATACTTTATCAATTAAATCTTTAACGTCTTTAACTTGAGATGAACAATATAGTTTGGAAATTTTATTTTCTTTTAAAAGATTAATACCTATATGGGGAAATGGTAAAAAGTCTCCAAATATCATATTGTTTTCCTTTTTTGAATATTTTCTCATAGCCTTGTCTACGTTATATTCTAATTCTAAAATAAATTCATCGTCAGCTAAAAAAGAAAATATATCCATTGGTATTTCAAGTAATCGCTTTTTACACAAATTTGTGAAATTATGATCTAATTTCAAAATGCCTTGTCGGCAAGATACATTTACTTTCAAAATTTGATATTTTCGAATTGCAATTGGCTCAAATAAAGAGAATTTTATCGGATCCCAACACTTAAATTTTCTTATTGAAGAAGTGGCATCATAAGTTCTTTCCAGATTCCTTGCGCTTTCTTCTGTAGAATTATTTGTTGAATTTTCAGAATTTTCGTTATCTATTAAATTTAACCATTGAGTTTGTGAGATATCGAAACTAGACAATTTATTGTCATCATCTAAATCCAAAACAAAATAAGCCAAAAAACCCTCTATAGTACCATCACCAATACATCTTAGTTCCACTTGACGATCTAGCTTTCCATCAAAAGCATTTTGAAGACTATCCAAATTATTTAAATCCACCGAAAAAGCTAGAGTAGGTTCTGAGCAGAGTTCTATTTTATATGCATTTTGGTCCAATACCTCATATGGCTCTTCAATGCGAGGAACAAGAATAGTGTCTTTAAGATAAATTGAATTTTCCAATGTACTTTCGATACCTTGTAAAACTTCAGCCAAACCAATTTTGTTAATAGCCGCTACGAAAATACTTATTTTTCTCGGAACAATTTTCCCCCTTTCTGATAACAAATGTTGTTTTGCATGAATTAATGTTTCTAAAACAGATTCACCGAAAGCACCACTATCAAAAATTTCAGTTACAATTAAATCAAATCTTGGTAGATTTAATTCATTTAAATTAATGTTCATTGAATGTCTTCGAAGCAAAGTGACTTGCAAATTATTTTTTTTAAATACTTTTTCAGCAATATCAGCCATTAAATCGTCTGTTTCACATGCATATACTGTAGCAGTTCTAGTATTTTCACAACAATAAATTGAAAGCAATCCTGTACCCGTTCCAATGTCCAAGACATTAGTCGGTTCCAAACATTGCATTTGAGAAGCTATTGCTTTTTTGTAAGCATTATTGCGATATGTGTCGTTTAACATTACAAAATGCCAACGCTCTACCCATTGATTGATAATATTGTCTTTGTTTTCCATGTATGAAAGCTTTTCGGGACATATTTCCAACGCCAAATTAATATACTTTAAGGCCTCCACGGGTTTTTTTATTCTAAAAATATAAAAACGATAAAATCGAGATAAAAATTTCACTTATAACATTATAAACTAAACTACAGAATTAGTTTAATTCAATTTATTTTACATTAAAAATTTTATCATGAAATGATTGAAAGAATACTAAAGTAGTTAAGATTTACAATAATGATCTTATGTCTAAATATTTAATCACTTCATATGAATAAACTTGTAAAAACATTTTGATGAAGGTATCAATGTTTAAATTCGTGATTGTACGTTAACCTTTAAATGCATAAATTTTGTAATAGTATTCATCGTGCTTCCCTATTTCAAATTCAATGGCAAAAAATATTATGTAGCAAAATTTATAGTTTTACAAAATAAAAAGTAAGATTACAAACTTATAGAATTTTTTGTGTGCTGAACACTTGTTTCTACTCTATAACTTTCAAAACAATTTAATTCTTTTTTCCAAGCATTAATTTTATCTTGAACTTCTTCTGCCTCGCTTAAAGTTTTAGGAACCGAAAAAGAAATTATAGCAGAGTTATCATGAAAAACTTTGTAAACGAGGAGATCTATGTCCGTAATGCAATGTTTTTCTTTTGATAAAACAGGATCATACCAATACACAATTGGGTAACCAGCTAATATTCCCAAAACACTTGGAATGCAATATATTTCTGGGTCAATTTTTAAATCAAGTACGTTTCCATTTGAGTCGGCAATTTGACTTTTAATCATACTTATCATTTCCAAAATATGTTCGTTAGTGTTAAAATGTAATATCCTTGGTTCGTTTAAATTTTCACTGACATCTACCATTAAAGGAGCTATTTTAAACTCTAAAAACAATCTTTTATTTAGAACACAAAGATCATCTTTTATAGTAACCACTATGATATGTTCATTTATAACATTAGCAAGCTTTAGTTGATCAAGGATGTCTTTAACTTGCGATAGTGTGACTGGTGACCCAATATCCCATATGAAACCGGTTTTTACTCCGTCATTTACCGCCTTAAGAGAATTTTCAATGAATTTCGCATTTCGATGTGAGATTGAATGATGAGAAAGTAATACTTTTCGAATTTCTGATAAAGCTTCCATTTTGATTTACCTTTTGTTTTAAAATTTATCTAAAATTATCTTAAATAATCTATTTTAAATTAATATTGAAAAAGAAACACTTACTTATTTAAAACAACACCTAAGGCATTCAGTACTTCTGGGTCGTTAGGAAACAGCTCCTGGCTTTCTTTAAAACAGCGAAATATCTCGTTGTAACTTTCTAGTGATATTAAATAATCCAAATAATTAGTCAAACACGTAACATAAGTATTCCTAACTTCAATTTTTTGCTCTGGATTCAATTTACACAAATTTTCAATTTTATTAAAAAATATTTGCGGCAATTCATTCATCAACACGATTGTTGACATATATTGTATTCGTACTACCGTTTCGAAAATAAGTGTGGTAGAGTCAAAGTTACCGGGCGTTATTGAGCGCTTATATAGGTAAGTTATTGCCAAGAAAATTTATGCAATAATTGACAAGCTATTGAAGAAATAAGTAGTAACAAATAGTAAGAACGAAATCCTTAATGACGGAAATTAAAAAGAGCACATTTAATTTATTTCTTTAATAAAACACTAAAAAAATGTTTTGGTAAAGTTGTTAACTTGCATATGTACGTCTTGGTTAAAAGAAAGACAATAATCAAAGTCAAAGCTTGCTGGGTATCCAATTTATTTTGTGATAATTCTAGTGCAGTTTTACGCATTTTTTGGTTAAAAATTTCACCACTAAACCGTTCAAAATGCTATTACTACTTGCCCATGTACTGTTAGACAACAAATTTAGTTTGTGAAAAAAGGTAACGAAGCGTAATGAAAAAAAATACTAAAAATTTGAAAAAAGAACGTTTTTTTTTGGAAATACTATAATTGTAAAAATATAATCAAAGCGGTGAGCGGACGGCAAAATCAACTGTACAATATTTTGCATATAATGTAGGATTTTAGGCCATTAGTTGAATTCACGGCGATAATTTTGCATGATTCTGGGCAGTCACTTTTAAATATATGTATTTTATAAGAATTCTGAAATTGTTTCGCTCCGTTGCTGCTCCAAATTACTGTTATTCTGTTTTCAACTTAAATAAGGAATGATCTAAGTATTGTACGAATGTATTCGATAATGTAGTTTAATTTTGATCAATGTTTGACGTTTTTAAAATTGATATTTTTGATAAAATTTTCATAACCAAATTGAACCAAACGAAAAATCGGCCGACAGAACTTGATGCGGTGCAATTTATTTGTTTGAATTCATATAATATTTAGATCAGAAATTGCAAATTTTAAAACATTTACTAATATGGAAACTATTGAAAGTTTGCGTGAATGTCTAGAAAGCATTGGATATGATGGCAAACTTCTGAAAGTTGATGTATTGCAGAATGTTGTAAAATCTGGTCCGAAATCTGAAGATTTTAGGGAGTTAATATATTGGATAGCAAATGAAATTCATGTTTTATCCCAGACAGAAGAAAAAGTTAATCCAAAAACAGAGTATAGTGAATTTATGTTAGAAACATCAGCTTTGCTAAAAGAAGTCGGGTGTCCATATGAACAACTTATTTCTGGTCCTCTAACTGATAGATTTCAAACAGATGAAAGTAAATTTTTGTTGATTGATTTCTTAATAACAACTTTGATGACCGCTAAAATGTGCATAGCAATCAACCCAACACAAGAAGATACATCTCATATAATAGAAAAAATAGAAAGCAGAAGTGCTAAGGCTTTGGAAATAGTAACAAAAGATTTAGGTTTAGGGAAACCGCCAGACAATATAAGTCCCAAAGCACTTTTTGAAAAAATTAATAAAAAACTGATATTAACTTTAGACAAAGTGGATAAAAAAGCATTAGGGGAGCCGCTTTTGAAAACTTCAACACCATTTACTAATGATCAATGGGCTGAACTTGAAAAAGTTAACAATGACCTGGAAAATGAATATAATTTGCGAAAAGATATGTTATTAACAAGATTAGATGTAACGGTACAATCATTTTTATGGTCTGATAAAATGAAAATGAAGAAGGATGAAGTTATGAAAATTTATCAACAGAAGCTGCGTGAAATAGAAGAGATGACAAATGATTTAGAAAATGGATCTTTGGCAGGTTTGATAGCTGCGAGAACTAACCGTGCGGTTATTGAAAGAGTAAGTAATGCTCGAGTAAGAAAAAATACTTTCAGTGCCAAGGTTCAACGTCATATTATTGGAAAAGTTCCTGACCGTGGGGGTCGAGCGTTTGAGCATGATATTCCTCCCCCAGAAATGCCATCCTGGCAGCAGAATAGATCCGCAGGTAGAATTATATGAAAATTTTAAAACTTTCAAAATAATATATCAATTTATTTGAAATTTCAGGTCCTCAAGGTGGTGGAGGTGGATTTCAAGGAAATAGAGGTGGTGGCGGCGTTGGTAGTCAAGGAAGAGGGGGTTATAATCAAGGAAATAATTCGAACTTCCAAGGTGGAGGCAGAGGGGGCCATGGGCGAGACAATGTTGGAAATTCAAGTGGCTATAATCAATCCAATCAAGGAGGAGGAGGTCGAGGAAACTATAACCAAGGCGGTGGTGGAGCCTACAATCAAGGAAGCAATTATAATCAAGGAAGCGGTTATAACCAAGGAGGCAGTTTTAATCAAGGAGGTGGTTATAATGAAGGAGGTGGTTATAATCAAGGTAGTGTGCACACTCATAATCAAGGTGGTGGTTATAATCAAGGAGGTGGTTATAATCAAGGCAGCGGTTATAATCAAGGAATGGGTGACAATTCTGGTGGCTATAATCAAAGTCGAATTCAAGGAAGGGGAGGCGGAGGAAATTACGGGAACGATCACTATAAATCAGGTGATTCGGGAAACAGAAGAGGTGATCAAGGATTTAGCAGAGGCCGTTCCAATTATAATCGTGGTGGAGGAAATCGCTATTAAAATGAATTTGACTGGATACAAAATTAAAATTCAAAGTTAAGCATAAATTAAGTTAAATATTTTGAGTATGTATTTATAATTTAACCTCGAATGAAATACAAAAAAGGAATATTAAAAAACAAAAATTGGTTATTTCATCTCCACTGTACAATTTTTATTTCATATACAAAAAAATTATAAACTACTGAAATTTACTAAGTTCATCTTTCAATTTGAAAATTTCTTCTTTTAAATTACTAATTATACATAAATGTTTAATTTTTTCTTTTTCAGCCTCCTTTTTCAGCTTTATCATTTCGTTTTCGTAGATTTTTTTAACATTTTCACTGCCGTCAATTTCTGGAAACTCTAAAGACCTTTCCATGTTGTCTTCCAAAGAATTATAAATATCATCCTCAACATTAAAATTTATTTCGTCATATTCACTTTTGATATCACGGAAAAAATTTACCGGGCTAATATCTCCATTATATTCGTTATGAAACAACGAATGTCTTTTACAAATATATAAAGTGTCATTTTCTTTAATGGCGTTAATATCAATATTAAATATTTCATTTGGATCAAGTTTGAAAATGTCTGACCACACATCAAAAAGATTGACTGCTTCTTTAGGAAACATGATCATATCCACGTAGTTATTACTTGTTGTACCGCAACTTTTGATAATACACTTATTTAATGTGCTTTTTTCTTTTCCAACCAGCGGTTCTAGTTTAATATGTTTTTCATTTAATTCTTGTTTTTCGTTTACTTTATAGTTAGGATCTGATGGACCAATTATTTTATATCTAGGTGCAGAAAGAAAAAATTTAGGCTCCGCTTCAGCAGTGTACCGTTTTCCACATAATTCCGCTTTCCAAAAATGTTTTTCACATATCAAAATATTTTTTAACTGAAGATCGCTCGGTGTTAGTTTACATATGCTTACCCATTTTTTAAAACGATCCGATTTTGGATCAGGAAAACTAAAAAATCTTAATTTTGGATTGCTACGATACGTTGCACGGCACGATCTTATAATACATCTTCTACCAGATTTTCTGTATCTATTGTTTGAATATTGTTTGGCAACAGGAAATTCATTTTTGATATTAATTTCATTTATAAAACTATTTTGTGGCTCAAAACTAGAAGGCTCTCGGTCATTGTCGTTTTTATTAGGTGGAGGTGTATCTAAATATCTTTGAGGAACAGCATTTTTTTTTAAATACACTTCTCCAATTTGATCAGGATTAAAATGACGGTGACAAATTAGAAATCTCCTAGTTCCCATTCCGGGAATTTCAGATATTCCACATGCTTGTAACCATTCTTTAAGTTGATGCTCATTATTTTTGGGAAATTTAAATAATCTTAAATTTGGAACCTTCCGCTTTGATGCCCTGCAGGTTTTCACGGCACAACATACTCCAGAAGCAGTTTTGCTCATTTTGCTTTTGCATGCAATATAAACCGAATAATTCTTTCATTAAACGGTTTGTTTTTTATTATTGAACAATTTTTTCAGATTTTGTTTATTATGTATTGCGATAAACTGTCACTTGTCAGAATTAATGTCATTTTATTATTCATTTCTTTTTTGCCAAAAGAGATGAATTATGGAAAATTATTCAGTAGTGTTCGCACTACTAAAAATTTCAAGCAGAAAATTATTTTTATATAAAACTAAGTGTATTTTCAAAGGAAATTACTTTTTATAATTGTTTAGTGCTAACGATTATAAATAGGTGAATATTGTTTTTAATAGCAATGTACAAAAATATATATGTATGTTTGTATGTAGATATAAATTTGAATTAAGTAGAATAGAAAGAAAAATTGTTCGTGTTCATTTCTCTGATAGCTACAATTAGACAAGTAAGATTTTTGTGAGAAAAAATTAAGCGAAATATTTTATTTAATGCTGTTCTTAAATTATTTTGATTATCAAATATTGTTTGTATATAAACATTAAAATTAAGAAATGAACTAATTTATAAAATTGTATGTCCGAAAATACATAGTTCTATAATTTTTTTTTATTTTTAGCTGACAAATTTTTCTCCGTAAATTGAAAGAGTTTTTGTTCTCCTTTCGATCAAGTTTAATAGTAATATATAGGTACTACCTAGCTTTCTACAACAAAATAATAAATAGCTTTCTTATATCTGAATTTTTAAAATATTATTTACACATAAATTAGTCGATACATACATATTATCTTAAACTCAAACCCATATTACCCATATCACATCGATTTAATTTCTTTTTAGTTTATTACACAGTGATTACATACTGACTAAAATATTCTAATTTTATAAACATTCCACGGATTTAAGGCACTGTCTAAAAATGCACCTACTTTACGTAACGCTGCAATTATGATTCTGCATAGTGCTCCTCATAAAGTTAATGCCCTTGCATTGAAAATCAAAGTTTATTATAATAATTTTATTTTTGTAAGTGTTACTTTGTGTTAGAACAACTAATTTCGTTTCATTTGCTCTAAAATTTTTAATAAATTACAGTTGCGTTTAAATTTTGAAATTTTTTTTTTACCGAAATCCGTGAACATAATATCCATCCTCATGCCAATTTATGTTAATTAAATTTCGTATAAATTTGCCTGATTTTATATCCCATAGTTTTATTGTGCTTCCATAAGTGCTTGTTAACACAAAATTCAAAACAAACTGCATACATTTTACTTGAGAACATTCTTCTGTTTCATCTCAAAATAAACATTTATATTAAACTAATATCTACTAGTTGCAAATCTTGGAATTTTCAAAATTTTTATCAATTCAAAATACCTGTAATAGTTTGTAAATATTCACCCGTTGCGAAATCACAAATTTTTATATCGTATTTGAAACGAACAAAAGGATTTGGTGAATAAAGTACGTTGATGAAAGCAAACATATTTTTATTAGAAATCAAATCATTTTTTTCTTTGAAAGCAAAACAATCTTTACATCCCATTAAGTTGTTTTTTATAGAGCCAGTTTCAGCATTCCAAATATATATTGCACCAATTGAAGCTGATACAATATTTAATCCGTCAAACTGAAATAAAACCCTGAATAATTAATAATAATAAAACAATATAAAATAAAAAAATTGAGAAAGCGTACACTCAGCGCAACGACATCATATCGATGACCTTCTAAAGTTTTTATACATTCTCCAGTATTTGTATTCCATATTTTTACTGTTTTGTCCGAAGATCCAGATATTACAAATGTCCCATTGTAATCCGTGCATCGAACGGCAGCTGTATGACCGTTGAATACTTTCAAACAATTTCCGGTTTCAAAATTCCAAAAACGTAAAGAAAAATCACAGGAACCGCTAACAAGTCTAAATAAAATAATTATATTTTAACTGTAAGTAGATATATATCTAATTACGAATGAATTTTAAAATACATTTAATTACTTGCATTTATACACGCTTAGGCAACTAATTCTTGCAGTATGTCCATTAAGATTAAAAATACATTGTCCATTTTCAATATTCCAAATTTTTATAATACCATCCCCATCTCCAGAAACTATTATGTTGTCTAATAGTTTAAGTAAAATTACGCCACTTCTGTGTCCTAATAATTTCTTAAAATTCTAAAATATTTAAAATAACAATAAATATAATACATATTCTGCAAAATAAATACCTAATGATCAATAATAGAAATTTTTAGTTATATGTATGTAAGTATTTATGCATGTAATACTAAGATAAAATTGAATTAAGAATTACCTCTCCTGTATTTATTAAAAAAACATTTATTACAGCGTCCAATGATGCAGATACAAGATACTTTTCATTTATTTGGATACAACCGATCATTTCAGCATTATATTCAATTACTTTTGAGAAACTGTTAGTCTGACGGCTTCTCCATGATTTTTCCAAGTTACATTGTCTTATATAACACATTTTCCAAAACGAAATCTCAGAATCGATTTTTCTGTTAGATTTAAAAATTTGGGTATCATTTTCTCCAACGTTTGTGCAAATTTGTTCTTTTATACATATTTCCCGCCATAAAAAATTGTCATTACATATAGTATACCAATCTTTCGATACTTGTGTTGCACTGAGTAAATCTTTTAAGTCCAAATACGACAATATTTTAAACTTTAATTCGCTTGGCAATAACCGTAAAAAATCTTTGTAAATTTCCATTTACTTTTGCTTTCTGAGTACATACATTTATATATGTATATGTATGTTAAATTATAGGTGCATAAATATAATACAAGTCCATTTGCTTTTAAATCTATAGAAATATTAAATATTAAAATAACATAAAAATAAATACAAATATGCATATAAATATTTACAATAAACAAAAATAAATATTTAAATATGTGGGTATGTATAGGATCTACCAATCTGCCTAAATAGGTATGTAGGCACATAATTTTATAAAATACGTCGCAAAAATATTGATTAAATGGCCCACAGATGTATTTTATTAAACTTTAGTTGCTAAATCCATTTAATATACAGGGTGATTCAGAAATGTATACAACAACATGTACCATTGGTTAGGGGGTTAAAAAAGGGTAAAACTTTTGTTTCGGAGTAGGTGCGAAATCTCAAGGGTTCTCGAGATACAGGAATTTTAACGAATTTTCACGAAATTTCTAGTTATCTAAGGTTTTTTGATTATAACTTCCGTTCCAAAAAAGGTAAGGGCTATAAACAAACAGTTTCTCTAGTACAGAGCTTAAAATAAACCCTTTACTTGATTATGTATTTTGTGTACTTTCGGAATACCAATCATTTGAATTTTAGCAAAAATCAAATTTTTCTCTTTTTTATTTTTATAGTTTTTTCTAACCAGGTAATTTCGTTCGAAATTTTTTGAAACTTTGAAATTTTTTTTACAGAATTTTGGCCACTTTCTCAAACCTTAATTTTAGTCACTAAGTGTTGAAAAATATTTTATGGTACAGAAGATATAGCACGAAAACCATTTCTATGTCAAGATTATAAGGGCCCTAATAAAATGTAAAAAACCAAAAAATTGCCATTATTCGCACCTACTCCGGAACAAAAGTTTTACCCATTTTCGACCCTCTAACCAATGGTATATGATGCTGCATACCTTTCTGAATCACCCTGTATAAATAACGGTATTATTAAAATTGTAATATAAACACTAACGGTATTTAATTGTAAATCGATTTACCTGGATATTTACATTTATCTCAAATTTTCTTTCGGCAAATATTCTAAAAAATGAACTGAAACTACACTCTTATTATTGCGGTTCTACAAAATGCTTAAAAATTATAAAAAAAACATTGCAGTTTTGTACAATTTTCTTTACTTTTTTAAATTATTAGTGAATTACCCCCAATTGAGGAATTAAATTATACGTGCACTATTAATTAATTAATTTACAGGTATCATAATATTAAATTTCTCAAGAATGATTGGTGGATTCAGCAAAACCTCTGAATCTCCGCAAAAAGTAATTTATTAAGTATTGAATTTTTTTACTGTTAATTTAAAAACATTACTGATAACGAAACTTATATTATTTTTCATAATAAAAACAAAAATTTTTTACCTATGTTTCTTCTAGTTAAACTTCAATTTTGTTATAAACATGTCAGTTAACATGCTACGAATAAACTTTGGCAAGCCATCTACTGGCGCTTTTTTTAACCTAATAATCTACATATATAAAAATTTTAATAAGATACGAAGAAGATGTAATTTAATTACAACAGCTTTGAAATTATGTATACTTCGTCTGATATGTTATGATGCACCTTATTTGTTTATTATACTCCCTCTTCAAGTTTATTGATATTTTCTTGCACTTTCTGCTCAATCTTAAAAAGACTTTTCTTATCACGAATCTTGATCTGAATTGATTCATGTTTTTTTTTTCTGAAATGACCCTGAGGACCCTTATTCATAAAGTTATAGTGATATTTATTGTAAAAAGTTAGATAATATGTACTATCATTCTATACATAAACCCATTTTTATAAATGATTTGGGTCTATAATAATCGGATTATCATATATTTAAGGGCCGCTTATTCAAACCGAAAAAAATGCTAAATATCGAAAATCGGGTTTTGCATGCAAAACCGTTGGTTTTAAAATCTCATTTCCCATTTGTGATTTAAATAATACTCGTGAATTTTATATAAATTTTGGTATAGAATTAGCAGTCCAATCCCAATGCTTTGGTTGTAATTGGTTTAACGATTAATATTTATTATCAAGTTTTATTTTTAAATTAATCAGTAAAAGTTTCAAAAACTTTATTCCTTTTGTTTTAAAGTAATGAAATTTTATTGATATTTATATTTTATTTTGTGTTTTATACAATTTATTGCCGGTTTAACTTACATTCATGAAATAAATTCAAGGTAACAGTAATTAAATTTTTTAATATCTATTTAGAGTGTGGTATCTCACGTAACAGTCTCCCTTATGCATGATAAACTTTGTGGATGGTCTGATTTTGGTGCTCTTCTTGTAGACTCTGAAGTATTTTGGTGGTTATTTGAGTCTGTTTCGTCACTTTGAGAATCAGTTGATTAGAAACGGTAAAAAACTATTATAATTGATAAAAAATTGGAGAGGTTAATACAAAGCTGCAAATAATTAACGACGTTGGCGCTGCGAAATTATTAAAAAAGCAACCCACTGACAAAAACCGTCGATAACCAAAAGCCGATTAATAGGCTACCGGTCGATGAGCGTAAGGAATCGAAAAGCCGATAAATAGGCTACCGGTCGATGAGCGTAAGGAATCGAAAAGCCGATAAATAGGCTACCGGTCGATAAAGTGTTAAATAGTGAATTACTTAGTGACTCGATGCTCAGAATAAACCCCACTATTTTATGTAATGAATAATTTATTTTTAAATAATAAATTTATTAAATGTATTAATTAATAATTTTATTTTCACGCATATTTCAGTTTATAATTTTTAAATACATAATATTTTTTGTTATAATATTGATATATGTATTTATATGTATATACAATAAATTTTTATTTTATTTTTCATGAAAATTTAAAGAATATTATTTTATGTTTTCCTTGTTCTAAAAATTAACAGACGACCCATCATGCGTTCCGAAAATCCATTCAAGTTTCTTTTTTGTTTATATAATAATTGCGTATTTTTGTTATTGTTATAAATATGTATATTTAAATATATATTTTTCATTTTCATATTAAAATTAAAAAATATGACTTTTTTCAAAACGTTTATTTTTATATATTAAATTATTATTACCTTGTTTAAAAATATATAAAATCAATAATTACAGGCATGTATGCTCTAATATTTTATCCGCTGTCTTTAACGTTTAAATAAGAATTTTAAATTAATTATTGTAAATTGATTATTGATATTAATTTAACGAATTTTTTAATTTGATTTTAAGAATTTTTGTTAAGAATTTTTTTATTTTTCCTACAAAACTGCAAAATATATTTTATTGCATCAACCTATTTTCTCGAAAAATTAATCACTATTCCCTCTCAATGATACTATCACAATGCAATTCTAGATGATCACGATACATAAATTCAATGCATACATAAATTGAATTGATTTACAATTATTGTACAATATGCTAAATAGAATATATTTCTGTTGCCACATTTCAAAAAATGAACTATTTGTGTAATGGTTTTTGATGAAATGTGAATGAAATAAATAATTATTATGCTTTCCCACTAAATGTAGAACTAGTTTTAAATTTTGAAATTTAATTTGAGTAAAAACAAATAAATTTCAAAAATATTCACAAAGAGGAAGGATAGCATACAATTATTTTTAGTATAATGAATCGATAATTAATATATGAAAGATAAAGAAAAATGTACTTTGCGATTAATTTTTTTTCTTTTTGTTTTTATCGCTGTTGATAAATAGGAATGTTTGTTTTAGTATCATTTTGCATTAACATATTTTGGTTTAAATTTTGAGTCATTCCGATCGAAAATTGCGTAGGGTTAGATAAATGTGGCATAGTTGAATTTATTGAACTGGCTTGCATTGTATGTTGCATTTGCGGATTTGGTATGATAGTGTTATTGATATTTGAATTAATATGACTTAACGTTCCTACAGGTATACTACAAATCCCATTTGAATGTTGAACCATATTTTGAGAATTTGCTTGTAAAGCTCCATTATTTCCTATTGGCATTGATCCTAGTGGAATTGGCTGCTGATTAACAACATTTGTTGGTAGTCCAGCCAATTGTTGGTTTTGGACTTGCGTTTGTTGTAAAATATTATTATGCTGTGGCGAGGGTCCGGTCATCATTTGTTGATGAGAAATTGCAGTTCCAGTAGTAACTGGTTGACCAGTTTGTTGCATATAACCCTGTTGCCCTAGTGGATTGTTTGTAACAGATTGAGGTGCCGATCCCTGTTGTATCTTAAAAAGAAGAAAAAAATTTTATATACATATTTACACCTGATTACCAATTTTTATCATATAATTACTCCAAAGTTCTTTTCTATTTATTTTTCTAATTGCGAATATTAAAGTTACAAATTTGCTAAAATAAATATTACTCTTTCGAACTTAGTAAAAAATCAGTGTAAAAATACCTGCTGCAAAGAGTGTATTTGCTGTTGCGTATTTTGGATATTGTTAGGACGTTGATCATTTTGGTAAGGTACAGCATTAATTTGATGTTGGTTCTGTTGTAATTGTTGCATTTGTTGATTACTTATGTTTGAATTATCATAAAAAGCTCCTGGTATATTATGATGAATTTGCTGCTGAGTTCCTGTAATCATTGCAGGAATGGAGTTAGTTGCTATATTTGGTGCAGGTATTTGCTGCATTAATGGTAGGGCCATAGCCTGATTTCCACCGATATTTCCAGGCATGTGAAACACAGGTTGCATCCCAAATTGCATCGGTATAGGTTGAGATGGATTATACATATTTGGTTGAGGTTGATTATACATATTTGTTGCCATTGGATTTGTAAAATAATTCATGTGAGCCGGAGAAGAAATCGGTGGTTCTCTCATTAATGTATGATATAAGTTTATAGCATCAACTAAATCGCTTGATAATTGTGTCAATTGAGCATGTTTCCTATCAACGAGCTCTAGCTCAGCGTCTATTAAAGGTCCCATTTGATTAACTTCTTCTTCCAACCGCAACATCTCATCAGTATCTTTTGAAGGATCTTCAGGATTAGCTTCGTGTAATAAATGTAATAATCTATCAATTTTTTCTTCATTTATTTCCGTTTGAATTGTTAAATTTTCCAAATCTGTTGCTAATAAATCAGTCTTCTCATCTTTTTTGCTAGCACTGACAGAATTTATTTCATCTTCAAATTGAACTTTCTTAGATTTTTGTTGTTGGTTTAAATCCAGTTGTTCAGGTTCTACGCTTAAATCTGCAGTTACAAAATTTGATGGAAACAGTCCCTGACCGCGTTGATTGTGTCCCTTCCACCAATTTGGGTCAGTATCATCCAGTACATGAATTATTTCTCCTTTTACGAAAGTCATTTCATTTTCTTCAGCTGCTTCGAAGTCGTATAGTGCCCTAACCTTACGCGGTTCAACAGTGGATGAAGCAGAGGATAATGAATTTCCGGAATTTCCTATTGCTCGAGGAGATCCAGAGAAAGATGGATATAATGATGGCTAAAAAAGTTATGCAATTTAGTTTTTCAATTATTTTCAATCAAATATCAAATTACATAAGTATTTGTAGTAGATGAAGATACGGGTACTTGTTTTTTTGGACTATTTTTAGTTTCTTTTAGAGATAACTCAATAGCCTTTGCAATATCTTCTTCCTCTTGCTGACTGGTTACAATATTTGGATCCTTCAATGCAGCTGCTTGAGCGGCAGTAGGTTTTGGTTGTTTTTGTTCTGAAAAATCATGTCCTTCGGATTTAAGTTTTTGATAAAACGACGGAATTAAGGCTAACTGAGGGTCATTTTTAAATTCGTTATCTTTCCATTTTTTTATTGTTTGGCGCATTTTCTAACCGACGTAAATTGAAAACTAGTGAAAAAAATTTTTAAAGAAAACGTACGAAAAAAAAAACTTACTGCTGCAACTGGCGGTGGAGCCTTCATTAGTAATTTTCTATATTCTGTTTCAAATTCTCTAGACGCGACTTCAAGATGAAATTGTTTGCCGCAATTTTTAACACAAGCATCTAATAATGTAATTGCTTGAAGAACTACATGTGGATCTTGATGTCCAATTCTTTTCAAAATACTTCTTAAACAGTCCTTGACATTTTTAGGATTCGATGTCACTTTATCACATATATCCATTATTAAATTCCATGGTTCCGATGTATTTTTTTCGCTTGTTGCCTTTTCTATTTCAAACACAAAACATAAAATGCAATTTTTAAAAATACATATATACATATATATGTAAGGAAAAATTATGTTAATTTTAGTAACAAAAAGAAAACTAAACAAACTACGAAAAATTATAAAAACAACAAAAAATCATAAAAAGGAATCGTCTGACTTCAGACTTGTCTTTTGTTATCATGCGTTCCAGACAACAAAGGACGAGTAAAGATATAAGTAATGAGATGATAGCACTGATACGGTTTATAACCGAAGAGTTTTCCAATGGTATGCTAAAATGTGATTACGAATATCAGTTTTTAAATTCCAGATTTTTAAAAACATTATTTTTGTGTAAAATAAAAATGTTTGTATTTAAAGTAATTTAATTTAGAAATTACATGAAATACAAAGTTGTTTAATTTTCATTATGAGTACTATTTTTTAAACCGAAAACATAAATATTAAAAATTCCATGTTCTTGAACTAATTTTTTAGTTTTCTTACCAATGTCAGCTTCAAATGGCGAATTTTGCCCAAACAGTCCCATTGTGTTATCGGTTCAATTATTCCAAAAGTAATCGTAGTCAAAACTGCAACGAACTAGTAAATTTATTAAAGAACCTATTCCGAAAATTTATTTCAATACTACGAAATTTCAATGATATAAATTTACTTTTGAGACATAAAGTAAAAAAATTTTATTAAAGTGATGATTATGACTAATTTATTGTTGTCAAATAGATAATGTCATATTGAACTGAACATAAAAATATTTTGGCAGCTTAATTTCTCAATTATTTTAAATTCTCTATTGGCAAATAAAGAAACTACTTTATTATTATTCAAACTTGTTTTTGATTCAACTTGAAGTAAATAGATTGCTCATTGTCAAAATAATATTGATACGATGAACGATATGATTGGAAAATGTTACTATAAAAAAAGGTTGGACTTCTGGGTCAAATAAAGTCATAAAAATAAAAAAAAAAACTATGAATTTTTCAATTTTTCTCAATATTCTTATTTTTGCAGTAAGCAAAGGAAAACGATTCTCTAAAAAGAAGTATTTATACAGTGTTTTCTTGTATCAATCCTTCTTTCTTACTTTTCTCATTCTCAGGTTGGTTGTAATAAATGCTACACAGCGTATTAAACCATAAGCTCCTATAATCAGAAAAAAAAGTTAAATTATTTTATAATTTTCAGCTCGTGAAGTAATTTATTATCTTTTTCTGAGACTTTATTTTAAATTTTTACCTTTAAAATTTGAAACTGATTGTTGTTTCAAAAAAGTTCAGCAGATAGCAGCTCGGAATTGGATTGTGTTGTGACATTTCTATTGATTTGTTAATAATTTTGATTTGACAATTAGAAATTGGTTTTTTTTTATGAAAAAAATTATGTTGATTAAAAAAGTTCTGATTATGATAGATTAAATTTAGATAATGTAAAATATTTTTGGAATATTAGTAAAATGACTTTTATAAGAGATCCGTGTGGAATAGTTTGTTTACTTGTAACATATTCAGCTATTTTTTACGCTGATTATGTTGTTTTCCAAATATGTACCCAAACAATGAATGGAAAGTAAGTACTGATAGATTTTTTTGTTTATAATAAAAATTTACCTGCAAATGTTTTGAATTTGACAAAAATAGCTTATGGGCTCCAATAAATGTTGTTGCGTTTAACACAATCATATTTTTACTTGCGATGGCCCATTTAAAAGCTGTACTTTCGGATCCCGGAACAGTTCCTTTACCCCAGAATCGATTGGATTTCTCAGATTTACAAGCAGCTACGCAGAAAAATAGTGACCGCGGTGAGTGGACAGTATGTACAAGATGTGAAACGTATCGACCTCCAAGAGCACATCATTGCCGCATATGTAAAAGGTAAACAAAAAAGGAAGAAAAAAAATTTAATTGAATGCTTTACTAATAAATATAACCTTCAATAAAAGGTGCATTCGTCGAATGGATCATCATTGTCCCTGGATAAATAATTGCGTAGGGGAAAGGAATCAAAAATTTTTCCTTCAATTTTTGGTTTATGTTGGAATACTTTCAATTTATTCTATGGTATTGGTGGTAGTAAGTTGGGTATATCCATGTCAAGACTGCCACCTCAATTTAGCTGATACGCAAGCAAGAATGTATAAAAAATTTAATATGAAATTATGTTTTTCTAAATTTATTATTTTAGGTTGCACAGTGTAATACTTCTCCTAGAGTCGGCCCTTTTTGGTTTATTTGTTCTTGCTATTATGGTGGACCAGATACATGCTATTCTTTATGATGAAACAGGTAATTTTTACATATTTTTTATGTAACACAGGTAATTGTTGATATCTACAAATATTTTCTAGCGGTTGAAGCGATTCAACAAAAAGGTTCATATAGACCAAATCGTCGAAAAATGGCATTACTAGCAGACGTTTTTGGTAGAGGACATCCACTCTGTTGGCTAGCACCTTGTACAAATTTTAATACCAGATTAAAATACACTGATACACCCTTACTGAGTCACGATGTTTAAATTTTATAAAAAAAAAAGCAAACAAATATTAAGTATAAATGTAGTTTTAAGAATTTGTAATGGGGGAATCTGTTAAGACTATGTATTGCAACATGTACACAAAGAATGGTGCAATACCTATAATAGTGGAACTTTGTATGTTTGGTATAAGGGGTTGCAATTATCAAAAATTTGAAGATAAATCACAATATTATTTGTATATAAGTATTAAGAGTCTATTTAAATTTTAGTTTTTAAAAATAGAATTTAAATAATTTTAAACGCAAATGAAAAATTCAATTGCTTTTATTTAAGATATAAATTATCTTTTATTTTGAAATATGTATGTATTTTTAAACCAAAAAATCAATTACATTTTAAGATTGTAATTAAGTATAAAACTGAGATTTTTTTAGTTTAAAACAATATTTTCCCAAAATGTTAGTTTAAAATTATACTTTGTTAAGATATTTGAAAAAAGTAAATGATTTCGTATCTAAGTACATATAAATAATATATATACATACTTCCAAAATGATATTTCTTCATAAGATATTTGCAATTTTATATGTGCACTGAATTGAATTTAAAAAAAAAATATGGCCATTTAGTTAGCCACAATTTTGTGTTATTATGCTTTAAGATTAATTTAGGATATTATTAAAAATTTTGGAAAAAAAAACAATGCTAAAACATTTAAAAAATAAAAATGCACGCCCTTTAAGTTGTGATTTATCACGCCATTAAGGAATAAAAAAAATTCGTTTTGTATATCTGAAGATTTTATAGTTTCACGTTATTGAATTTATATCCTTTTTTTCCATGTAATTTATGTTCATTTTATGTTTTATTACATTTATAAGTAAGGTTTTGATATTGAAGTTGGTAAATTTTCATATTATTGTATTTAAAGTTTTAAATTAGTTTTATAATTTATTTCTTCGAACCATGTTTTTATTCCGAAGTCATAGAATTAAGAAAAAAATAGTATCCTTTAAAAAATAACAATTGTATGATAAGATGTAGAAAGATTTTACAGAAAGATATTTTCTTTTTAATTTTATTTTTTTCTTTTATTTATTCACTTCTGGTAACTACTAATTACTGTTATTTATTATCAATATAAAGTTAAAATAGAGAGTAATAATGTAAAAATGTGTATAAAATAAGTTCAAAAATTAAAACAGGTAAATTTTCCATATATTTTTTGTGTTTCTTAAATTAATGTAAGCAGAGGATATGAAAGCATTATTCATAAATTTTACACAATCTAGGAAAATTACCAACTGAAAGTAATCTAAGATTACTAAAAATTTTTTAAAATAAATTTGGATATTTATTACAAATGGTTTGTGATTTTTCATCTATTTAAGAAAATGAAAAAAAGTAAATTTATAAAGCTTAGAAATATTGAATTCGCTGAAACCACAGGTGGTTTCATTAGGTGTGTAAAGTATTCTCTTTATGCCCAAAAACATTCCCTTATAACTATTATCTGAAACACAAAAAAACTTACACGTTTTTTTCATATTGTACATTTATTAAATAATATTATTTTTCGTCACAAATTATCTAATTCATTCTGTTTTTCATCTATTTTGAGTAAGTTATTATAAAAAGCTTTTCTTTCACGCTTTGTTTTAAAAAAGAACTTATGTCCAGGGCAATCGAAATTTTCCTCAAAACACTTGTCACGACAACAGTGCCTGCATAATTTAAATTCACATTTAAAACCCTAAAAAAATATTCAAAGACAATTATAGAAAAAAGAAAAAATTGAACATACTAAAGGATTTGTACAAATTGGACACGCTTCAATATTTCTTTCATGTGAACCTTCAGGTTTATTTGGACGACGACTTTTTCTTCTCAAACGCTTCATTTTTTTCCTTGAAATTTCGTTACCTTCTTCATCATAATATTGACGTTTTATTCTAAGTGGATCTTCGGCAATTTTTATTTTTTCCTCAATAATTTTTTTAAAAATTTCGGGTAACGGTCTTATGTATGGTTGACATAACCATGGGGGTAGTGATAAATTATAATCCTAAAAATATTATTGATAATTTACATTATTAGAAGAACAATATACAAACAGTTGAGTAAAATATGTACCTTAATAATTTCAGATCCTATATTGGGATCAATTTCTTCTTCAACATAAAAATCTATGCCTTCATGAAACGGTTCATATTTATCTTTAATTTTTTGAACAAAAGAACGAAATTGCCACATTTCCCTTGCAACAGCTAGTTCTTCACGTATTTTTGAATTTGGTTTTAAGTTTAATCTAAAATTTTAACTTTTTAAAAGAACATTTTAATGTTTAAAAAATTAGAGTTTATTTACAAATGATGAAATAATTTAAAAAGATGCCCCCTTATGTAAGATATCGGACATGGGAATATTTCAACAAAATCTAGATATTCACTAGCCATATCCCATGTTTTAGGTGTTATGCCACTAAATAAAGCTGGATTATGTAAATTACCTTCAGCTGACATAACACCTTGAACACCAGTTTCTTCAAGACATCTTGTAACATCTTTGAGACACATAATATTACCGTTAGCAAACATCGGTATTTTTATTGAATCTCTATAAAAACAGAATTATATTTGAAAATTTAATTTAATAACTCATAAAGAAAAATTTTCTATCATTTGTATATTTTTTTAAAATTTCACCTAACTAGTTTAATGTAAGACCAATCTGCTAAACCCGTATTTGGACCTTTTTGCTCTCGAGTACGTCCATGAACAGTTAAAAGTTGACAACCGGCAGATTCTAACATTTTTGCATATTTAACCGTTTTTTCTTTTTCTTCAAAAACTCTAATTTTACAAGTGATTGGAACAGACAAATTATGGTGCAGTGTTTTTACTAAAATTCATTTTTACCAAAAAATAAACAAAATTCGTTATTTGTAACCATATGTAATTTTTACCTATGTCAGTGAGAAGTTCCCATTCATCTTGAAGAAACGCTCCATAATGTCCACGTTTCGCTATAGCTTGTGGGCATCCTAAATTTATATCTATGGCATCACAGTAATCTTGTGCTAATAATGCAGCTTCCAGGAAAATTTTTGGATCATTACCACAAAACTACAATAATCAATAGCAAAAAAAAAAGGTAAAATCATTTAGAAAATATTTTGTTTTTATATTATTTTTTAATAAGTTTACTTGAATTATTAAAGGTCGATCATCTGCACATGTTTGCAAAGCTTCTTTCCGATATTTTGGATCTTTAGCGAATAAATTACTATGAAACATTGGAGAATAACATAGTTCGGCATTATAACGTCGACAAAGCATGCGCCATGCTAATTCACTTTGATCAACCATTGGAGCTACCTTAACGAACATATGTATGTATATAAATTATTGGGGAATTGGAAAATATATGTGTACGTATATATTTTTTTATATAAAATAAATCTAAAAATTTACCACGTATTTGGGGGATCCCAAAGTTTTTTCATAAAATTCCCAACCAGCAAGCTTTTTTCTTTCAACATTTAAATTAATTGGTGATTCTGTAATCTGTGATATTGTTGAATCTTCGTTTTCCATATTGTAAGATAGTCAAATTTCTGTAAAAAATAATAAAAATATTTTAATTAATTGAAAAATGCGAATTTTTACAAATTACTTATTTCCCATTTTAATTAACTGTAAAACATGCAATATAAAAATTAAGAGAACTGAATCATTAACCACTTGAGAATAAAAAAGGAAAATTAGCATTTACAACAAGAAATTTTAAAAACTAAAATAATTTTATATTTTTCGTTTTGCTCCAATTATTTCTTAAATATTCATACATAATTTTATTAACTGTGATTATTAATAATTGATTTTTTGTTTACTAATTTAATACATGTTATATCATGTTATAAAATTTTCATTCCTTTGATTTCATTCAATTGAATTTCATTAACATTTTATTAATTCTGTGGCATAAATTCAAAAACATTTAACTCTCTCACAATATTGAGTTTTTTTATTTTAATGAGATTCTCAATATTTATGTAATTTTGTAATCCTGTCAAATTTTATTTCCGAAATGTCGGAGTTGTCGTAAAATAGAAGTAAGAGCTTACAACAAGTATGACACTCGGTTTTAATTGAAATTTTCTTTTTTTTTAAATAACTTTAAAGCTTAACCAAGTCAAATTTAGACTGTTATAAAATATTTTATAAATTTTTTTCTCTTGAAAATTGTGAATAGTTTTACCAGGTGATATACGATTATTAAATTTAAAAAAATAATTGAATGACATTAAAGTTATATTTTAATTAACATGCTATACCGAACGTATAAAAGACGTTTTAAATTAAATAACAATTATTGAATATCCAGCTTAATGCCATATATATATATAAATATATTTCTGAATCTGGTAATTGAAAATAAAATATTTCCAATATTATTTGTTCATATGAATGAATATAAAACTAAACGTAGTTATAACATGACACGACTGTTTGACAATCGGCTTGATATGATCGTTTAAGATTAGTGCAGCAATAAATGCGAATGTTTACTGTTTCTATTACTCGTATAACATATAAAAACTTTTCTTAACACTTCAATTATTTTATTTACAACCATATACACATAATTTTGTATATTTATAATTAGAACGAAACTAAAATATTCATTAATTTTTTAATTTTATTAAAAGATTATATTTATATATGCATAATTATTATTATAACATAAAACTATGAACAATGCAAGTAAAAATTAATTAAGTAAAACAAATATATTATTTACATATATAATTTAACATTTTTTGTAAAACTCATCTTTCAACATTTTGTGTACATACATTATACATATTATGTTTAATTTCTATAATTTATAGAATAATAGTTGCTTACTATAATAGAAAAGAGAAAATTTAATTATTGTACTTGAAAGTAAAAAATGTGAACCCAAAATATATATTCTAATTTTATTTCTAATTGTTAGCCAAATTAGAATATCTATACAAAATTAGCCAAAATTGCATATCTATACAAATAACAAATTGTAAATTTGCTGTGAAATTTTTTAAAATTTTCCGTAAATATACTGTTTAAGGGTTACTGTTTCGATTCATAAGTGCATACATGTATCAAAAGATTAAATTCAGTAACTTATTTTATAACTAATTCTTTGCGAAAATAATTAATTATAAAAAGTGTTATAAAATCTACTACAAATAGGTACAATTTCATGAGAATTTTAGAAAGTTGCATATTTTCATGCTAAATTTGTTTCATTGAAATTAAGAATTAAATTAATGGCTCTTAAATACCCATGATAAGTGTATTTGGCTTAAATTTTTTGTCGTAATGTCGTAAATAAACACTCTACTTCATTTCAACGTTTCGATACCAATTGGCCAAATAGTTTTTCTTACTCTACTTAGGAAATAGTTTTGCTAATAAAAAGGACAGATAAATATTTATTATTTTATTTATTGCTTACTATATGACTTAAAATCAACGTATTGAAAATAGATCTAAGAGTTTCACAAATACATACATAGGTACAAAGTTTTTATAAAATTGCTCTACATATATGTATATAAAATAATATAAAATTGAATAAAAATCAAAAAAATTAAAATGCAAATTAAAAAAAAAATTAAAATTATTGAATTATTGGAATTCAATTTCAAATAATTCAATTATTTTACAAAAAGTTTAGAAATATGAGAAAAAAATTATTAAGTGACGGAAAGTTATCGGAGCAATTGCTAATTGTGTGTTGCCATCTTTTCAACAATTATAAGTAATTGGATTTTTTGAGTAATATTAAAATTGATACTAAAATTTTATTGTACAATCATGAGTATTTATTACGTTATTTATAACAAAAATAAAAAAATATTAAAATAATAAAATAAATATAATGTTAACATATATGTACAATAATGCATACATATATGTATGTATCAATATAGAACACTATGTATAAGAAATTAAATTGAAAATTAACATGCAATAGAAAAGTAAATTTGAATATTTTCTAAATGAAATACGCGTCATTGGTAATACTTTAAAAGTTTTGAGTGGTGGTTATACGAAACATTTTATTATTTTAGATCATGATATTATTTTTTTTTTTTTTTTTTTACTGTTATAACCATATAATATAAACCATTTAAATAATCACTTTTAAAAAATAATAGCCTTTTTCGATATTTAGTAATAATTCTTATTTAAATTCTTTTCATTCCATTTTTTTTTTTTATGTTATTTTTGCGTAATTTGAAGGTTAAGCTACAATAAATAAAAATAAACTTGTTGTTGAAAAAAACTTAATTATATAATGTGTATGTATATATATGTGCATACATATTAATTTGATTGTGCCTTTGTACAGTCCGCCGACTCCAATTTTATTAAATAAAATTTTTTTGTTAATTACTTTATCATTTAATTATTTTATTGAAAATGGGCCTCCACTCGATAAAAGTTTAAATAAGAAGAATTCATTCATTAAAATCTAGATGTACTTAGACTGCTTAGAATAATGATGCTAAAACTCCAACTAAAATTGTATCATGTGCTTCGCCATAGTCTTACTGAATTTTTAATAACATTTTAATCATTTTTTACCCTACGCTGTTATTCCTTATAATTTTGTATTAAAATATTGTAAAATCTAATTTGAAAATTTGTAAAATTAAAAATATACATATATGATACAACATTCCTTTAAATAATTAAATTAGTATACGAGTAGTAAGAAAATTTCATAAATAAATTTGAAACAGCTTTTAAAATAAGTGCGATTTAGAGTATGTATAGAAATTTTCAAGTATCTATAAAATTTATTTCTTTCATTTCTAATTTTTTTTTATAATAAAAGTTAAATTTTATATGGTATAAGTTTTATTCGTATAGCTGAAGGTCATAAGTATAATTTATAAAAAAAATTTTTTTTTAATGTGTTTAAATCACGATATAAATTTCTAAATATTGCTTCTTATAGTATGGAATCAACAGATGATTTTAGTTTTGATAGTGTTATTGCGAAATGATCTAATAGAAATTTGAATTTATTTAAACAAATTAATCAATTCAAGGGTTTTACTAGAGCTAAAACTCAATTAAACTCAATTATTACAATAAGATGTAATTTAAATAATTAGAGTAGAGTATATTTGGGCAATGTAAAGAGCAACCTAATGTGAGAGTAATGATTTTTATCTTATTTTTTGATAACGTTACAAAAATTTGTAATATTTATCTTTTATATATAAGTAGTACAAGACCCTATTGTGGCAGTTACACTTCTCGCACCTATATAAAATATATTTGGCAAAAAGAAAAAAATTGATAAGAAATGGAAAGAAGGAATACTTATAAAGCCGTCGAGGGAAGATAATCTGCAAGAATGGACGAATTTAAGGGGGTATCACTCTTCTTAATACAATACATAAGGTGCTGACGCTGACTGTCATGAGAAGAATCGAACTAAAAGTAGACAAAATTATCGGAGAAGAACAGGCCAGATCCCGTAAGAACAGAGTATGTATAAACCACTCTAACACACTCAGAATTATCATAGAACAATCTAATGATTATAGTTTTCCATATTGCACCTTTGACGATTTGCGAGTATTCAAGAAAGTGAAGCCTGAAGCCATCTGGAATGCAATGCACTATGAGGGTGTCCTTAGAAAATTTGTAAATATCATTAAGATTATATACACGAGAATGTAAGTTCCAAGGTTTAATAACACGACCGCCAGTAAAGTACGCCTATTCAAACAACTTCGGGTATCAGGCAGAGCTCTCCTCCAGCACCGTTTTTCTTCATAGTGCTGCTATATGAGGTAATTAAAAAAGTTAACACGACACTGGGGGTATTAAATGGGGATTGAGTAGCAGGCAAAATGATCTTGAGTATGCAAACGACATCTGGTTTTTAGCTGATACATATGCGGATGTGTAGACCAAAGTACACATTCTAGAAAGGACATCTGCGAATGCCTGAACACAGTAAATAATACACCCCTTTAACTAGACGATATTTAAATTTAGAAGATACCATTTCATCTCCCTGGCAGCGTCATAGACCAAAGATTGTCAAAAGCAAACATGGCCCGTATATCAATGAATCGAACAAATGGCAAAATGTTGATTAGAAATATAGTCCTTAGCTTAAAACAGAGAGCTATTCAGAGGATTGGTTGAATTCCATGTTCGCACCGAAGATGGAGGGAAGAAAATATAGGCAGATTGAAACAGTACCTTGAAAATAAAATTATAAAATAAGAGAAATTGGAATAATATTTGAATCAAATAATATTTAGCACGTTTATATAATGAATATAAGTACATACTGCTAAATATAAATCAATGAGAAATCATAATCGCATATACGCATATGAAAATATATTGTACATGCATACATACATTTGTATATTTTAGCAAGACATGCCATTTCACCTACATGTTATATACATGGGTATAAGACTATTATTAGAGTATTTTACTATTTTGTTATCTGAAAGTAAAATACATACAAGAAAAAAAAAAACAAAGAACAAAAAAGACAAATATTATTTGAAAAGTAAGCTCGCATGCG